GAGGCCTTTAGCTTTTCCACTTGCTCAATGTGCACCTCGACTGTTGAGTAAATAGAAACTGCGTCTCTGAATTCGACGACAACAAATGCCAGTGTGAAGTTTCACAACTGACCCCTTTGAAAGAGAGTTGATCTTCAGAAGTTCCTATATCAAAGAGGCAAAATGCCAACAAAATGTACTTTGATTCAAGCCTTGTGAATCCATATGAGAATGTGATACCTTTCTTTTGCTTCTCGGTGAACCACCGAAGAAAGGCCTTGTGTAATCTCCCATACTTGACCTTGTCTTTCAGGCACTTCAAAACTGCTAGCAGAGGGGAACTGTCTGGAAGCTCAGAGACTATTGTTTCTGCCTTGAGGTGACTCTGGTTCGTGTACTGCATTACAACTGAGACTGTAGCTGAAAACCAGATCTGCCAAGCATTGTTTGTGCTATGTAGAGGCTCCACCTTGAGTAAATCAACATACTTCCCTGACAGAGGAACAAATTCTTGTCTCAACTTGTTTTGAGCAGTAAATTTGTAATATGACTTCTTTGTTTGCCCATGGGATCTTTAAGTCTTTCCTTTGACTTTTGTACTTTCTCTGCAATGGCCAGTCTCTCGGTGTACTGCCATGGTTACCATGTTGCTTTAGGGCCACCAATAAAACCATGGCTCCCTTGTGTGTTTGATTAACATTGGCAAAAGGTGGGAAATAGGTTGCACAATTGTTTAGTTCTCGTAAGTGGGATGACATCCATTTCATGTCAGATGGTATCAGTTAAAATTTGAACACAACCTGCTCTCCTATCTCAGTGGTCAATGTCTTCTCTTCAATCTGTTCCATTTCTTCCTTCAGGTGATTTGAGTAAGATTTCATGAGTGGATGATCTTCTTCACAGTTGGCACCAAGGAGTACATTATTATCATCGCAACTTTGTACTCTGTTCAGCAGGTTGAGAAAGCTAACTAAGTATGCAGTGACTGTGTCATCCTTGCCAAATGGCGCACCATCTGCCTCCACTGCCACATACAGTACTCTTCACTCAACCTAACCAAAAGATCACATCCATCAGAGTATTTTATTTCAATCACTATCTACTTACAAAAGACCTTTATAAGGAGTTCTGTTAGTTTTTGAGGGAAACGTTTCAGGATTTGCAAAATTGCCATTTTTTCTTTTAATAGCGTCTTCTCACTTAACATAATCCTTTATCAACCGATTCACTAGCCAAGTACTGAGAGGTTCACAATACAACGAAAGAAAGATGGTATTTTACGTGACTTATCCAGGTGCTGGGGATGCAAGAATTGTGGCAACTTACCTACCATTTCCCTCCAGAGAATAATGGTGATTAACCTTAGAATACTCTGTCAATCTCAATCCTAAGTGACAGCCACATTGGCAACTAAACGTTGGTTGATAGAGAAGAGCAAAAGATGCATTTTACATGTGCATCTTCTTAGCAATCATTGATTGCTCACTTTAGAACAAACGTGAGGGAGTTTTACCTCACTGTTATTGATACATTTCATAACCAAACAGATACGCCCTTCATCTGCTTAACACTCTAGAAATTCGAACAGTAAATGTGTATCAACATAATGCTTTAAAGGCTTTTCATCTGCAGCACAAAGGCCCGCTTAAGTGGATCCCTTCCAAAACCATTTTCAATATCCAGGTTGAATGCAACACCAGATATGCTTCCCAACAAAATTTGTGTAAACCTTAAGTGTGCAATAACTCTGGAAAACAAACAGTTGTCTATTCAGGAACTAATCTTTATGACTAAATCCCTCTAGACTTATTATAACTTAAAATCTTCAATTTCTATGAGCAACACTCTGAACATTTGCCTTATAATATCTGCCTTATCATCATTATCATCATCATGATTACTATTTTCTTTTAGTATAGTTCTTTTCTCCCTCGTTCATTTAATTTAAGCAACTCCTGGCTCTTCAGTTGTACTATTTCTCAGTATTCTAAGCAATTTGTATTTTAAATTTATAATGTACGACAGTGTATTTAGTATTACACATCATGAATAAAAAGATGGTCACTGAGCCATTAGGAACTGAGACCAACAATTTCAAACCATAAATACAACTACCAGTCAGAAAAAGGAAACAAAAATTTTCTTCATACGTAATTTAGGCAGCTATCTACAAAAGTTAGTTAATTAAAAAATTTAAAAAATTGAAATAATTAAGTGAAAAATAACTTTGTAAAAGTGAACAAAGAGAAGTAGATGCTGTGTGCCATACACTGTTAGTCATGTATATGCCCTTTGCAGATTTAAGAGATGCATATAGTTGTACTATTGAAAAACAAATTTGATGAAAAGTTTTTGCATCCATGACACAAATTAAGGCCTGCCTAAGTGGATCTCTTCCGAAACCATTTTCAATATGCAAGTAGTATTCACGGATACAACAGATATGCTTCCCAGAAAAATTGGAAACTAACTTGAAACTTAGCAGCTAATTTTGTAATGTATGACAGTGTATAAAGTATTACACATCATGTATTTAAAAGAGCTTGATCCAGTTGATAGCAGATTGCCTAAAATTGTAATACTGTAAAGTTTTTTGAAGAAAAGACCATTCCACCGTGTCGAAGGCCTTTTCAAAGTCGAGAAAAAGTAGAAGTCCTGGAATGTTCTTCGCGGCTGTATACTTTATAATGCCATCAATGAGTCGAATATTTTCTCCAGTAAATCTACCTTTGAGAAAACCTGTTTGGTCATAGTTAGTAATATTTGGGATAACCTGTTTAAATCTATTGGCAATAGCTTTAGCTGCTATTTTGTAATCGCAGTTTAGTAGTGATATGGGGCGCCAATTTTTGATTAAATTGGGTTCTGCATTTTTTTTTGGTATGAGTTTAATGATCCCTCTACGTTGAGTTACTGAGAGCTGGCCGCAACGGTAGGCGTAGTTTATCGAATTTAAGAAGAGGTCGGAGATATCATTCCAAAAGACTATATAAAATTCTGCTGGTAAACCGTCTGAGCCCGGAATCTTGTTACATTCCATATCCTTAGGTGCTTTTAGACTTTCTTCTTTACTTAATAAACCTTAACAGGCTTTTTGTTCAGTTAGGTTTAGTTTTTTCTCCGTTTGCATACCGAAGAAGATGCTGTTTGTCAGTTCATTTTGAGAGCCTTGAACTGTAAAGGCGTTTGTAGAAGGTTTCACACTCGTTCAAAATTTCTTTGTCTGTACTAACAAATTGTTCATCATCCAGTTTTAATTCACTTATTGTCCCTTGTTTGTAATGTCGTCTTTCTAGGTTTAGAAAGTATTTTGTGTTCTTTTCACCTTCATTGTGCCATCGGCACTTAGCCTGCAAAATTGTACCTTCTGTTCGGTATTCAATTAGTTTTTCTAATTATAATTTTTTGGAGTCCAAAGCGCCCAGGATGCCTTTCTTTTCCTTCTCATTGATATTGCTGGATTCAGCTAAGCGTTGTAAGCTGTTAATTTCTGTTTCAAGCTCCTCTTCATACCGTGATATTTTAGCCTTTTTGACCGTTGACTATTTTAGAGACTGTTCTCTAATTTTTAGTTTTATCATTTCCCACATAAAGGCATCATCAACGAAACTATCATGTTTGTATTATTCTTGCGTATTTTTAATCGTAACACGTATTTGATTTATGTAATCAATTTCTGATAGGAGCGAGGTATTAAAGTTCCAAAAACTCGGGCCTCTCTTATTAGAGTGGGTGGCAATCGTGACCTCTATTAAAGAGTGGTCTGTTTTGTATCCGGTGGCGATATTAGTGGATTTAGGGAAAGGAAAAAATCCAAGAGACATTGAATTTCTGGCCGTTTTCACCGCCACTTATATCTACGATTCTCCGGGTTTAGGACTCGCCATGCGTCCACTAAATCAAATTCATCACAAAATCCTTTTGTTTTAACCGATTCTGTATGTGTCCTAGCTAGACCGCCCTTTTTATCTATGTCCAGGTTCAAAACCAAGTTGAAGTCCCTTCCAATTATTACATCGTCGCACTCGAAATCATTTAAATGGTCAAAAAAATTCAGAAAGAAATTTGGATCGTCCTCATTAGGCGCATAGAGAGTGGCTATAGTTACACATTTTTTATCTAATGTGATATCGCAGATGATGAATCTGCCGTTGGGATCCACGTATGTTCGTTGAAGTTGAAAATCAAAGTTGTTATTGAATAGAATGGCAACTCCTCCTTTAGCACTGGTACAGCAGCTGAAAATTGTTTTGTATCCCCATTCAGCAGACCATGAAGGGATCGTGATTTCTGAGCAGTGCACTTCTTGAAGCATGTAAATTGAAAACTTTTTCCTTCTGAGCCAGTCAAACATTTCTCGTTTTTTCAGTCTGTCCCCGAGTCCTCTCACATTAAGAGAGCCTATTTTGACCCTTTTCCTCCCATGGGTATGGTAATTAATTTTTGCAAAAAAGACAACACCGTAAATAAATGGTTGTAAGTTGAGCTACATTTAGTCAATATTCATATATCATAGCTCATTTTGAAGTTTAGAGAATTTTCTACACAGTGAACCAACAAAGTATGCCTGTCCCTTGTTATGTAAGTTTCTCACTTTATCCTCAAAGTTGACATATGACAGTAAAAATACACTAAAAAAAATCCTTCGTTCACAAGAATTCAGCTCTGAAACCAAAAAAAACTGTCAAATAATAACAATAGTCATTTTTGTTAAGCTAAAGAAATGACCTTTAAGATAAATCACAAATATTTGTTATATTGATCTAAAAAAAGCTTCTTACGGCCCTCAAACAGTAAGGCAATTTTCATCGTAAATTTTAATTCTATAAATCATTTCAAAAATTAATCAACTGAGGATTTAACAGCAACTTAAATCTCATAAGGTATTAAAGAGTTTTAGATCCGAGTTTACCGCGAACCTCTAACTGTGGTTTGCGGTTACCCGTTTGCGGTTCGACTTTCAAACATAATTCGATTTAGATTGGCGGTGGATTAAAGAGGTGGATTCTGGGTAATATCAT